GGCCCTTTTTCTTGCTATTTCGCGAACACAAGGCCCTTATTCTTGTTTTTTTGCACACGCTAGGCCCTTGCTCTTGCTATTTTGCACTCGCTAGGCCCTTGTTCTTGCAATTTTGCACTCGCTAGGCCCTTGTTCTTGCAATTTTGCACACGCTAGGCCCTTGTTCTTTTTATTTTGCACACGCTAGGCCCTTGTTCTTATATTTTGCACATGCTAGGCCCTTGTTCTTGCTATTTTGCACACGCTATGCCCTTGTTCTTTTTATTTTGCACACGCTAGGCCCTTATTCTTGCAATTTTGCACACGCTAGGCCCTTGTTCTTGCTATTTCGCGAACGCTAGGCCCTTGTTCTTAATTTTTTGCACACGCTAGGCCCTTGCTCTTGCTATTTTGCACTCGCTAGGCCCTTGTTCTTGCAATTCTGCACACGCTATGCCCTTGTTCTTGCAATTTTGCACACGCTAGGCCCTTGTTCTTGCTATTTTGCACACGCTAGGCACTTGTTCTTTTTTTTTTGCACACGCTAGGCCCTTGTTCTTGCTATTTTGCACACACTATGCCCTTGTTCTTTTTATTTTGCACACGCTAGGCCCTTGTTCTTGCAATTTTGCACATGTCAGACCCTTGATCTTTTTATTTTGCACACGCTAGGCCCTTGTTGTTGATATTTCGCGAACGCTAGGCCCTTGTTCTTGAGTTTTTGCACACGCTAGGCCCTTGCTCGCTATTTTGCACTCGCTAAGCCCTTGTTCTTGTAATTTTGCACATGCCAGGCCCTTGTTCTTGCAATTTTGCAAACGCTAGGCCCTTGTTCTTTTTATTTTGCACACGCTAGGCCCTTGTTTTTATTATTTTGCACACGCTAGGCCTTTGTTCTTGCTATTTTGCACACGCTATGCCCTTGTTCTTTTTATTTTGCACACGCTAGGCCCTTGTTCTTGCAATTTTGCACATGCTAGACCCTTGTTCTTTTCATTTTGCACACGCTAGGCCCTTGTTGTTGCAATTTCGCGAACGCTAGGCCCCTGTTGTGGATTTTTAGCATACGCTAGGCCCTTGCTCTTGCTATTTTTTGTCAAGATACTAGCAATGGGTAGGCTTAGGAGCCATGGTTGAGTTCGAGTAAGTTTAGGAGAGTCGAGAAATTGGAAGAGAAGATTTGGTTTCACTATAGAGCGAGCAGTACATATAGGCAAAATGAAAGGTGCACCACCAAAACAGAACATTGTATAACTACAGTAATCTACACTACAGGCAGTTACAAAACAATATATAAAACTATATATTGTTTTGACATTTTTCACTCGCTAGGCCCTTGTTCTTGCAATTTTGCACACGCTAGGCCCTTGTTTTTGCAATTTTGCGCACGCTAGGCCCTTGTTCTTTTTATTTTGCACACGCTAGGCCCTTGTTCTTTTTATTTTGCACACGCTATCCCCTTGGTGCATCGGCCAGTCTGGCTGGCATTTCGCACTCATAGTGCAGGTGGGGCCAGGGAGAACGGAAACGCTCGTTTCTAAAAAAGTAGAGGGAATCTAACGGTCTCACTCGATCAGAAGGTGGGAAATATATAAATCTAGTCAGCTAAAAAGGTTTGAAATGTATTTAGCGCACATGTATAGAGAAAATGGTGCATTGGCCAGGTCGGTCAGTATCGGAACTTAAAATGCAAATGCCAGGGAGAACGGAAGCGCTCAGATCTCGCATAGTATACGGAATCAAGTGGTCTCACTCAAAACGAAAGTAGGAAATATCTTCATCTAGTGAACGTAAGGGTTTGAAAGGTAACTAATGCACATGTGTAGAGAAAATGGTGCATCGGCCAGTCTGGCCGGCATTTCGCACTCATAGTGCAACTAGGGCCAGGGAGAACGGAAACGCTCGTTTCTCAAAAAGTAGAATGAATCTAACGGTCTCACTCGATCAGTAGGTGGGAAATATATAAATCTAGTCAGCTAAAAAGGTTTGAAATGTATTCAACGCACATGTATAGAGAAAATGGTGCATTGGCCAGGTCGGTCAGTATCGGAACTTCAAATGCAAATGCTAGGGAGAACGGAAGCGCTCAGATCTCGCATCGTACACGGAATCTAGTGGTCTCACTCAAATAGAAGGTAGGAAATAAATTCATCTAGTGAACGTAAGGGTTTGAAAGGTAAATAACGCACATGTGTAGATAAAATGGTGCATCGGCCAGTCTGGCCGGCATTTCGCACTTATAGTGCAAGTAGGGCCAAGGAGAACAGAAACGCTCATTTCTGAAAAAGTAAAGGGAATCTAGCAGTCTCACTCGATCAGAAGGTGGGAAATATATAAATCTAGTGAGCTTATAAGGTTCGGAAGGAATCTAATGCATATGTATATAGAAAGTGGTGCATTGGCCAGGTCGGTCTGTATGGGAACTTAGAGTGCAAATGCCTGGGAGAACGGAACTGCTCAGATCTCGCATAATACACGGAATCTAGTGGTCTCACTCAAATATAAGGTAGGAAATATATTCATCTAGTGAACGTAACGGTTTGAAAGGTAACTAACGCACATGTCTAGAGAAAATGGTGCATCAGTCAGTCCGGCCGGCATTTCGCACTCATAGTGCAGGTGGGGCCAGAGAGAACGGAAACGTTCGTTTCTCAAAAAGTAGAGGGAATCTAACGGTCTCACTCAATCAGAAGGTGGGAAATATATAAATCTAGTCAGCTAAAAAGGTTTGAAATGTATTCAACGCACATGTATAGAAACAATGGTGCATTGGCAAGGTCGGTCAGTATCAGAACTTAGGATGCAAATGCCAGGGAGAATGGAAGCGCTCAGATTTCGCATAGTACACGAAATCAAGTGGTCTCACTCAAATAGAAAGTAGGAATTATATTCATCTAGTGAACGTAAGGGTTTGAAAGGGAACTAACGCACATGTGTAGAGAAAATTGTGCATCGGCCAGTCTGGCCGGCATTTCGCACTTATAGTGCAACTAGGGCCAAGGAGAACGGAAACGCTCATTTCTCAAAAAGTAAAGGCAATCTAGCGGTCTCACTCGATCAGAAGGTGGGAAATATATAAATCTAGTGAGTTAATGAGGTTTGAAAGGAATCTAATGCATATGTATATGGAAAATGGTGCATTGGCCAGGTCGGTCAGTATGGGAACTTAGAGAGCAAATGCCTGAGAGAACGGAAGCGCTCAGATCTCGCATAGTACACGGAATCTAGTGGTCTCACCCAAATAGAAGGTAGGAAATAAAATCATCTAGTGAACGTAAGGGTTTGAATGGTAACTAACACACATGTGTAGAGAAAATGGTGCATCGGCCAGTCTGGCCGGCATTTCGCACTTATAGTGCAAGTAGGGCCAAGGAGAACGGAAACGCTCATTTCTCAAAAAGTAAAGGGAATCTAGCGGTCTCACTCGATCAGAAGGTGGGAAATATATAAATCTAGTGAGCTAATAAGGTTCGAAAGGAATCTAATGCATATGTATATGGAAAGTGGTGCATTGGCCAGGTCGGTCAGTATGGGAACTTACAGTGCAAATGCCTGGGAGAACAGAACCGCTCAGATCTCGCATAATACACGGTATCTAGTGGTCTCACTCAAATATAAGGTAGGAAATATATTCATCTAGTGAACGTAAGGGTTTGAAAGGTAACTAACGCACATCTGTAGAGAAAATGGTGCATCGGCCAGTCTGGCCGGCATTTCGCACTCATAGTGCAGGTGGGGCCGGCGTTTCTCAAAAAGTAGAGTGAATCTAACGGTCTCACTCGATCAGAAGGTGGGAAATATATAAATCTAGTCAGCTAAAAAGGTTTGAAATGTATTCAACGCACATGTATAGAGAAAATGGTGCATTGGCCAGGTCGGTCAGTATCGGAACTTAAAATGCAAATGCCAGGGAGAACGGAAGAGCTCAGATCTCGCATAGTACACGGAATCAAGTGGTCTCACCCAAATAGAAAGTAGGAAATATAATCATCTAGTGAACATAAGGGTTTGAAAGGTAACTAACGCACATGTGTAGAGAAAATTGTGCGTCGGCCAGTCTGGCCAGCATTTCCCACTGATAGTGCAACTAGGGCCAAGGAGAACGGAAACGCTTATTTCTCAAAAAGTAGAGGGAATCTAGTGGTCTCACTCGATCAGAAGGTGGGAAATGTATAAATATAGTGAGCTTATAAGGTTCAAAAGGAATCTAATGCATATGTATATGGAAAGTGGTGCATTGGCCAGGTCGGTCAGTATGGGAACTTAGAGTGCAAATGCCTAGGAGAACGGAACTACTCAGATTTCGCATAATACACGGAATCTAGTGGTCTCACTCAAATATAAGGTAGGAAATAAATTGATCTAGTGAACGTAAGGGTTTGAAAGGTAACTAATGCACATGTGTAGAGAAAATGGTGCATCGGCCAGTCTGGCCGGCATTTCGCACTCAAAGTGCAAGTGGGGCCAGGTAGAACGGAAACGCTCGTTTCTCAAAAAGTAGAGGGAATCTAACGGTCTCACCTGATCAGAAGGTGGGAAATATATAAATCTAGTCAGCTAAAAAGGTTTGAAATGTATTCAACGCACATGTATAGAGAAAATGGTGCATTGGCCAGGTCGGTCAGTATCGGAACTTAAAATGCAAATGCCAGGGAGAACGGAAGAGCTCAGATCTTGCATAGTACACGGAATCAAGTGGTCTCACACAAATAGAAAGTAGGAAATATATTCATCTAGTGAACATAAGGGTTTGAAAGGTAACTAACGCACATGTGTAGAGAAAATTGTGCGTCGGCCAGTCTGGCCGGCATTTCGCACTGATAGTGCAACTAGGGCCAAGGAGAACGGAAACGCTTATTTCTCAAAAAGTAGAGGGAGTCTAGCGGTCTCACTCGATCAGAAGGTGGGTAATATATAAATCTAGTGAGCTAAAAAGGTTTGAAAGGAATCTAATGCATATGTATATGGAAAATGGTGCATTGGCCAGGTCGGTCAGTATGGGAACTTAGAGTGCAAATGACATGGACGTGGTCGTGGACGTGGACGTGGACGTGGACACGGACATGAACATGGACGTGGACATGGACGTGGACGTCGACATGGACGTGGACGTGGACGTAGACGTGGACATGGACGTGGACGTGGACGTGGACGTGGACATAGACGTGGACGTGGACGTGGTCGTGGACATGGACGTGGACGTGGTGTGGACGGGGACGTGGACGTGGACGTGGACGTGGACATGGACCAGGACGCGGACATGGACGTGGACGTGGACGTGGACGTGGACGTGGACCTGGACGCGGACATGGACGTGGACATGGACGTAGACGTGGACGCGGACGTGGACGTGGACGTGGTCGTGGACGAGGACGTGGACGTGGACGTGGACATGGACGTAGACATGGTCGTGGACGTGGACATGGACATGGACGTGGATGTGGACGTGGATTTGGACGTGGACATAGACGTGGACGTGGACATGGACGTGGACGTGGACATGGACCTGGACTTGGACGTTGACATGGACGTAGACATGGACGTGGACGTGGACGTGGAGGACTTGGACGTGGACATGGACGTGGACATAGACGTGGACGTGGACGTGGACGTGGACGAAGACATGGTCGTGGACGTGGACATGGACGTGGACGTGGACGTGGACGTAGACGTAGACGTGGACGTAATCGTGGACGTGGAGGTGGACATGGACGTCGACGTGGACGTGGACGTGGACGTGGACGTGGACGTGGACGTGGACATGGACGTGGACGTGGACATGGACGTGGACATGGACATGGACGTGGATGTGGACGTGGACGTGGACGTAGACGTGGACGTGGACGTGGACGTGGACCTGGACGTGGACGTGGACGTGGACATGGACGTCGACGTGGACGTGGACGTGGACGTGGACGTGGACATGGACGTGGACGTGGACGTGAACGTGGACGTGGACATGGACGTATACGTGAACGTGGACGTGGACATGGACGTGGAAGTGGACGTGGACATGGACGTGGACGTGGACATGGTCGTGGACGCGGACGTGGACGTGGACGTGGACGTGGACGTAGACGTGGACGTGGACGTAGACGTGGTCGTGGACGTGGTCGTGGACGTAGACGTGGACGTGGACGTGGACGTGGACATGGTCGTGGACGTGGAGGTGGACGTGGACGTGGACGTGGACATGGACCAGGACGTGGACGTGGACGTGGACGTTGATGTGGACGTGGACCTGGACGTGGACGTGGACGTGGACCTGTACGTTGACGTGGACGTGGACGTGGACTTGGACGTGGACGTAGACATGGACTCGGTCGTGGACGTGGACGTGGACATGGAGGTGGACATGGACGTGGAGGTGGACAAGGACGTGGACGTGGACGTGGACGTGGACGTGGACATAGACGTGGACGTGGACGTGGAGGTGGACATGGACGTGGACATGGACGTGGACATGGACGTGGACGTGGACGTGGACGTGGACATGGACGTGGACATGAACATGGACGTGGACATGGACGTGGACGTGGACGTGGACGTCGACATAGACGTGGACGTGGCCATGGATGTGGACGTGGACATGGACATGGACGTGGACGTGGACTTGGACATGGACATGGACGTGGACGTGGACGTGGACGTGGACGTGGACATGGACGTGGACGTGGACGTGGACGTGGACATGGACGTGGACGTGGACGTGGACGTGGAGGACTTGGACGTGGACATGGACGTGGACGTGGACGTTGACGTGGACGAAGACATGGTCGTGGACGTGGACGTGGACGTGGACGTGGACATGGACGTGGACGTGGACGTGGACGTGGACGTGGACATGGACGTGGACGTAGACGTGGACGTGGACGTGGACGTGGACGTGGTCGTGGACGTGGACGTGGACGTGGACATTGTCGTGGACGTGGACATGGACGTGGAGGACATGGACGTGGACATGGACGTGGACATGGACGTGGACATGGACGTGGACATGGACGTGGACGTGGACGTGGAGGACTTGGACGTGGACATGGACGTGAACGTGGACGTGGACGTGGACGAAGACGTGGTCGTGGACGTGGACGTGGACGTGGACGTGGACGTGGACGTGGACGTGGACATGGACGTGGACGTGGACGTGGACGTGGACGTGGACTGGACGTAGACGTGGACGTGGTTGTGGACGTGGACGTGGACCTGGTCGTGGACGTGGACGTGGACCTGGTCGTTGACGTGGACGTGGACGTGGACATGGACGTGGACGTGGACGTGGACGTGGTCGTGGACGTGGACGTGGACGTGGACGTGGACCTGGACGTGGACGTGGACGTGGCATGGACGTGGACGTGGACGTGGACGTGGACGTGGACATGGACATGGACGTGGACGTGGACGTGGACATGGACATGGACGTGGACGTGGACGTGGACATGGACGTGGACGTGGACGTGGACGTGGACGTGGACATGGACGTGGACGTGGACGTGGACGTGGACATGGACGTGGACGTGGACATGGACGTGGACATGGACGTGGACATGGACGTGGACATGGACGTGGACGTGGACATGGACCTGGACATGGACGTGGACGTAGACGTGGACGTGGACATGGACGTGGACGTGGACGTGGACGTGGACATGGACGTAGACATGGACGTGGACGTGGACATGGACGTGGACGTGGACGTGGACGTGGACATGGACGTGGACGTGGACGTGGACGTGGACGTAGACATGGACATGGACGTGGACGTGGACGTGGAGAACTTGGACGTGGACATGGACGTGGACGTGGACGTGGATGTGGACGTGGAGAACTTGGACGTGGACATGGACGTGAACGTGGACGTGGACGTGGACGTGGAGGACTTGGACGTGGACATGGACGTGGGCGTGGACGTGGACATGGACGTGGACGTGGACATGGTTGTGGACGTGGACGAGGACGTGGACATGGACGTCGACGTGGACATGGACGTGGACGTAGACATGGACGTGGACGTGGACGTGGACGTGGACGTGGACGTGGACATGGAGGTGGACGTGGACGTGGACGTGGAGGTGGACATGGACGTGGAGGTGGACGTGGACGTGGACGTGGACGTGGACGTGGACCTGGACGTGGACGTGGACGTGGACGTGGACGTGGAGGTGGACGTGGAGGTGGACATGGACGTCGACGTGGACGTGGACGTGGACATGGATGTGGACATGGACGTGGACGTGGACGTGGACGTGGACGTAGACGTGGACATGGACGTGGACGTGGACGTGGACATGGACGTGGACGTGGACGTGGACGTGGACGTCGACGTGGACGTGGACGTGGACGTGGACATGGACGTGGACGTGGACGTGGACATGGACGTGGTCGTGGACGTGGACATGGACGTGGACGTTGTGAGAATAAGCGAACAGGGAATGAATGAACTAGCAGTGAAATGCGTACAAATAGTAAACCCTAGAATTGTGTACCCCCTATAGGCTCACCCACTGTAGCCTACACAAGCATAACATTTATAATGTTTGACACACCCCCATAGGCAAAGTGGGGGAGAACAAGGGGTCACAAGACCAGTCAAGCAAAGCAAAGCAAGCTCAGGGTGGATCACAAAGTCACCACACAGTCCGAGCACAAGAGCAGGGCCAGAGGCCAGTTCACATGCAGGAGTACGGACGTATATATAAAACTAGACAAGCAAGAGCCGGTATATATATGTCACAGTACAAGTAAAGTCAAGAGGAGAGCAAGTGAGGCAAGACAGGCACAAGACCCAGCTGGGTGCAAAAGCGCTGATGGTCACAAGGCGCGAGTGCCTTGGTGAACACATCAGCAGTGTTGGCCTCAGAGGCCACGTACGCAAGTCGCAACTAACCACGCTGCTGCAACTCACGAGCAAGGAAGTAGCGGAGAGCAATGTGCTTCGTTCTGTGCTCCAAGCGCTGCTCTCGACACAAGGCCAGCATGGCCTTGTTGTCTACGTACAGCACTGGAGGAGAACGAGGCGGCTCTCCAAGGTCAGTCAGCAGGTAGGTGAGCCAGCGAAGCTCCTGTGCAGCCATGGCCCCGGCGTAGATCTCAGCCTCACAACTGGAGCCGAGAACCGAAGACGAACGAGTAGACCGCCAGGAAACAGAGCCGGAACCAAGACTGAAGGTGTAACCCTGTGACGACCGCTGCGTAGCCTGGTCGTCAGCCCAAGAAGCGTCCGCGTGGCCTGTAAGGACCACTGGACTCCGCCCTCCAAGCACTAGCCCCATGCCCGACGTACTGCACAGGTAGCGCAATACCCTCTTCGCTGCAGCCATGTGCTCTGGTCGGTGTCTCCCACGAGCAAAATAGCGTGCAAGAATGCTCAGAGGGTATGCAAGGTCAGGTCGTGTGCAGGTCATCAGGTACATGAGGCAGCCAACAAGCTCTGGGTACGGGCCACTCGACTCTACGGACTCATCCGAAGGCAGAGCTGAGAGCGAGTGACGAGTAGACAGAGGAGTGGCCTGAGGCGAGGAGTACGTGAAGCCGAAGCGCTGAAGGACCTGCTGCACCATGTGTGACTGAGTCAAGGTAATGGTGCGGCGTGCTCTGTCCCGAGTGATCTGCAAGCCAAGGTAGCTGCGCAGTTCACCCAGGTCTGTGCACGTGTGTCTCTTCAGCAGCTCGGACTTCACGTAGGCGAGTCCAGCAGTGTCCGCTGTGGCAAAGACCAAGTCGTCGACGTACACGAGGATGTAGAACGGCGGCAGTGAAGTGTCGGTGCGCAGAAACAGCGACGGGTCAGCAGTAGACGGAGCAAACCCAAGAGCCGCAAGCGTAGTCCTCAGTGTGTCGTGCCACTCACGCGGTGCCTAGCGGAGACCGTAGACTGGCCATCGGAGGCTCCACTGGGTGCCAGGAGGGAAAGTCCCAGTGAAGCCAGGCGGACGGTGCAGCCAGATCTCCTCGTGCAGGCTACCCTGCAGGAACGCAGTGCTGAAGTCGAGAGAGTGAAGCTCGTAGTCGCGCTGAGCGGCTATGTGCAGCAGCACCCGAAGAGTGGTCATCTTCGGGGTGGGAGAGAAGGTCTGAAAGTAGTCAACTCCCTGCCGCTGACTGAAGCCACGAGCAACGTACCGCGCCTTGAAGACAGGTGGAGAGCCCGGCGGCCGCTTCACCCTGAAGATCCACATGCCACTGACGATGTTCGCCCCGGAAGGGGGAACTGCGTCAACGTAGGTGCCTGTGGACTTCCAGGAAGCCATCTCTGCATCCATAGCTGCCTGCCACTGAGAGGAGTAGGGACCCTCTACGGCCTCCGCGTAAGAGCGCGGAGTTGGGATGTCTAGTGCATCCGGGTCTCCCTCAGGAGCAAGCAGTACAGACACGAGATGAGGTGAAGCGGCCGCTAGACACTGTAACTCCTCCTACCTGTCCTCTATGACATCCGTGCCAAGAGCACACTCACCCCCGACGGATGGAGGACAGACAGACGCAGACTCAGTAATAAGACTAGCAGCGTAGTCTAGACGACAGCGAGCAGCAAAGTCGACGAGCTCAGCGACAAGAGCAGACGCAGCAGTGGACTCAAAAGAGGGGTCAGTGACGACACTAGCAAGTAGACGCGTGACTGTGGGACTGGCAGCACGAAGGGAGTCCGACTCAGGGTCGGCAAGCGCAGGAAGAGAGGACTCACGAGGAGAAGGCAAAGGGGCACGCAGAGGAGCAGTGGACGGACGTAGAGACATCCGGAGCGTGCCAGGGACAGGAGGAGGACGCTGACGCGAACTGCGACCACTAGCACGAGCAGCACGAACAGGCGACGCGGGACGGGACGCAGGCTAACCACGCTCAGCAAGACCTCCAGTAGGACCAGTGTAAGGAGAGGGAGCAGGCAGTGGAGAGGACGGCTCCAACAGTGACTGCGACTGGACCGGCTGTGGACCCTCTACTGAAGGAGAAAGACCAAGAACCTGCTGCAGGAGCGGAACGAAGTACGGCCGAGGCCGCGCGGCAGCTCCAGACTCAGCAGGGACAGCACCAGCACCCTTAGCGACAGCACCAGCGCCACCCACACCTCCAGCTCCAACACCCTCAGCAGCTCCAGCTCCAGGAGGACCCGCAGGTCCAGCAGCTCCGGGACCGGCAGCACCCGCACCCTCGACGGTCGAAGAAGCTCGAGCTCCAGCTCCAGCAGCACCCCCAGACTCAGCAGCACGCCTCCAGCGGCGAGCGAACCACTCGCGCAGCTCCTGTGGAGAGAGGGGCTCCCGGCGAGACGCAGCAGCAGGAGAAACCCCAGGCTCTGCAGCTCCAGACGCAGCACCCCCAGGCTCAGCAGCTCCCAGCTCAGCACCCCCAGGCTCAGCTTCACTCGACCCAGCACCCCCAGACCCTGCACCTCCAGGCACAGCACCCCCCCGCTCAGCACCCCCAGGCTCCGCACCCTCCACAGTAGCGCCCACAGGCCCAGCACCCCCAGGCGCAGCACCTCCAGGCCCAGCACCCTCGCGCACAGCACCCCAAGAGTCAGCACCCCCAGGCTCAGCACCCGCAGCAGCACCAGAGTCACCAGTAACCTCGACCGGGTCAACTGTGTCTACCTAGGACACACCTGAGGGGGCAGGAACCTGAGGGGGGAGGGGGTCTACCGGGGGAGGAACCGGGACAAGGAAGTCCGGTAGAGGGGGGAGGGAAGGAGTGCGGTAGGGGAAGAGGCGGTAGAAGGGGACTGACTCGTCGAACGTGACGTCCTGGGAGGACAAAACACGACGAGAGGAGGGGTGGTAAAACTGCCACCCTGGAGCGTCAGTGGGGAAGCCAAGGAAGACACAGGGAGCAGCACGAGGGGACAGCTTGTCCGCTGACAAGTCGCGGACAAACGCCCGAGATCCCCAGACACGGAACGCAGACGCATCGCCGACCTTCCCCGTCCATAGTAACACTGGGGACATCGCGGGCCGAGAGACCCTGGGGTGAAGGTTGAGCTGATGCGCCGCGTACCTCACCGCAAACGGCCACAGAAAATGGGGGGCAGCCGCATGCATCATGGACGTACGAGCGACATCCATGACCATGCCAATGCGGCGCTCAGCAATCCCATTTTTCTGTGGAGAGTCCGGAAGCGTGAAGGTCTGGCGGATCCCTCGTGCACGACACTAGTCTCGCAGAAGGCGAGAGGAGAACTCTCCGCCTCTGTCCGAGTGCAGACGCAGAACAGGGAAGTCCGAGCCAAAGCTCTGCCTGAGCTGGAGACGAGCCGCGCTGATCCAGTCGATCAGCACCTCAGTGACAGCACCCTTGCTGCGCAAGGGGAGGACTGTGGTGTACCGCGAGTAGTCGTCAACCACCAACAGGAAGTAGCGCTCATGACCCTGCCCACGGACGGGGGCTGGGCCCCACACATCCATGTGAAGCGTCTGCAGAGGAGCCTCTGTCGGGGGGGACTGGGAGGAGTGAGGAGTAGCCCGGAGGCGACCCTCGACACAGGGGACACAGGAAGGTCCTGGCCCGGAGGGAAGGGGAGGAAGAGACCGGGGCAGACCAGAGACAAGGACACGGTAAGCCATGCTCCGAAGACGGGGCAAGGACGGGTGGCCAAGACGGTGGTGCCACAGGAGAGTCTCGTGAGACAGGAGGCGACAAGAACAGGGGGCAGACTCAGGACCTGACCGGGACGCAGCAGCAAGCACCTGACCTGACGCAGCTACCTGACCAGACGCATGGACAGGAGGAGACGCAGTGGTCAGGGTGTAGAGGCTCGACCCCGGCCGACGTGAGAACGTGGCCAGGTGCCGGCCTGTGCGTGCGTCCGTGCAGTGGGTCACCCGCTGACTCGCAGGAGTGAACTGGTGAACCCCCGCATCCTGCAGGTCCGCACCACTCACCAAGTTCGTAGAGAACGAGGGAAGGTACAGTCCTGACAGGGTGCCCGAAGGGGCAGCCGGACACGGGAGGACAGTGGAGAAGTGAGAGAGGACAGGACCCCCAGAGGGGTCAACCAGGGAGACGGCAACCGGCCGACCAAGCGACGTGAGAGTGGTGCGGTCTCGAAAGAAGGAGCGAGAAGCCCCGGAGTCAAGTGTGAAAGTGAGGGAGGACAAGGACGAGAGCCGGCGGCGGGGCCGTAAGAGAGCCGGCAGCGGGGCCTTGTGAGGGCCGGCGGCGGGGCCGCGTGAGAGCCGGGACGGGGCCACAAGAGCGCCGGGGCGGGGCCGCGTCTGAGCCGGCGGTGGGGCCTGGTGAGAGCCGGGGCGGGGCCGCGAGAGAGACGGGGCGGGGCCGCTAGAGAGCCGGTGCGGGGCCGCGTCAGGGCCGGCGGCGAGGCCGCGAGAGAGCCGGGGCGGGGCCGCGATCAGGAGGCGGGGGCGGGGCCGCATCAGAGCCGGCGGCGGGCCGCGATCAGCGGGCGGCGGGGCCGCGTCAGAGCCGGCGGCGGGGCCGCTTCAGTGGAGGCGGCGGGGCCGCGTCAGAGGAGGCGGCGGGGCCGCGTCAGAGGAGGCGGCAAGGCCGCGTCAAGCAGGCGGCGGGGCCGCGATCAGGAGGGGTGGCGGGGCCGCGTCTGAGGGACAGCGAGGCCGCGAGAGCAATGGCGACCCGAAGGGTTGCGAAAAAAAAAATGCGCGCCTCGGGGCGCGCTTCGGTGGGCCCTAAAAAAAACGGTTCTTAGGAAGGACCCGCTCTATACCATGTGAGAATAAGCGAACAGGGAATGAATGAACTAGCAGTGAAATGAGTACAAATAGTAAACCCTAGAATTGTGTACCCCCTATAGGCTAACCCACTGTAGCCTACACAAGCATAACATATATAATGTTTGACAGACGTGGACGTGGACATGGACGTGGACGTGGACATGGTCGTGGACATGGACGTGGACGTGGACGTGGACGTGGCAATGGACGTGGACGTGAACGTGGACGTGGACGTGGACAAGAACGTGGACATGGACGTGGACGTGGACGTGGACGTGGACATGGACGTGGAGGTGGACGTGACGTGGACGTGGACGTGGACGTGACGTGGACCTGACATCGACGTGGACGTGGACCTGACGTGGACGTGGACGTGGACGTGGACATGGACGTGGACGTGGACGTGGACATGGACGTGGACGTGACATGGACGTGGACGTGGACGTGGACGTGGCAAGGACGCGGACGTGGACGTGGACGTGGACGCGGACGTGGACGTGGACGCGGACGCGGACGTGGACGCGGACGTGGACATGGACGTGGACGTGGACATGGACGTGGATGTGGACGTAAGGGTTTGAAAGGTAACTAACGCACATGTGTAGAGAAAATGGTGCATCGGCCAGTCTGGCCGGCATTTCGCACTTATAGTGCAAGTAGAGCCAAGAAGAACGGAAACGCTCATTTCTCAAAAAGTAAAGGGAATCTAGCGGTCTCACTCGATCAGAAGGTGGGAAATATATAAATCTAGTGAGCTAATAAGGTTCGGAAGGAATCTAATGCATATGTATATGGAAAGTGGTGCATTGGCCAGGTCGGTTAGTATGGGAACTTAGAGTGCAAATGCCAGGGAGAACGGAAGCGCTCAGATCTCGCATAGTACACGGAATCTAGTGGTCTCACTCAAATAGAAGGTAGGAAATAAATTCATCTAGTGAACGTAATGGTTTGAAAGGTAACTAACGCACATGTGTAGAGAAAATGGTGCATCGGCCAGTCTGGCCGGCATTTCGCACTCATAGTGCAAGTAGGGCCAAGGAGAACAGAAACGCTCATTTCTCAAAAAGTAAAGGGAATCTAGCGGTCTCACTCGATCAGAAGGTGGGAACCATATAGATCTAGCGAGCTAATAAGGTTCGAAAGGAATCTAATGCATATGTATATGGAAAGTGGTGCATTGGCCAGGTCGGTCAGTATGGGAACTTGGAGTGCAAATGCCAGGGAGAACGGAAGCGCTCAGATCTGGCATAGTACACGGAATCTAGTGGTCTCACTCAAATAGAAGGTAGGAAATAAATTCATCTAGTGAACATAAGGGTTTGAAATGTAACTAACGCACATGTGTAGAGAAAATGGTGCATCGGCCAGTCTGGCCAGCATTTCGCACTTATAGTGCAGGTGGGGCCAGGGAGAACAAAAATGCTCGTTTCTCAAAAAGTAGAGGGAATCTAATGGACTCACTCAATCAGAAGGTGGGAAATATATAAATCTAGTCAGCTAAAATGGTTTGAAATGTATTCAACGCACAGGTATAGAGAAAATGGTGCATTGGCCAGGTCGGTCAGTATCGGAACTTAAAATGCAAATGCCAGGGAGAACGGAAGCGCTCAGATCTCGCATAGTACACGGAATCTAGTGGTCTCACTCAAATAGAAGGTAGGAAATAAATTCATCTAGTGAACATAAGGGTTTGAAATGTAACTAACGCACATGTGTAGAGAAAATGGTGCATCGGCCAGTCTGGCCAGCATTTCGCACTTATAGTGCAGGTGGGGCCAGGGAGAACAAAAATGCTCGTTTCTCAAAAAGTAGAGGGAATCTAATGGACTCACTCAATCAGAAGGTGGGAAATATATAAATCTAGTCAGCTAAAATGGTTTGAAATGTATTCAACGCACAGGTATAGAGAAAATGGTGCATTGGCCAGGTCGGTCAGTATCGGAACTTAAAATGCAAATGCCAGGGAGAACGGAAGCGCTCAGATCTCGCATAGTACACGGAATCAAGTGGTCTCACTCAAATAGAAAGTAGAAAATATATTGATCTAGTGAACGTAAGGGTTTGAAAGGTAACTAACGCACATGTGTAGAGAAAATTGTGCATCGGTCAGTCCGGCCGGCATTTCGCACTTATAGTGCAACTAGGGCCAAGGAGAACGGAAACGCTCATTTCTCAATAAGTAGAGGGAATCTAGCGGTCTCACTCGATCAGAAGGTGGGAAATATATAAATCTAGTGAGCTAATAAGGTTCGAAAGGAATCTAATGCATATGTATATGGAAAATGGTGCATTGGCCAGGTCGGTCAGTATGGGAACTTAGAGTGCAAATGACATGGACGTGGTCGTGGACGTGGACGTGGACATGGATATGGACATGGACATGGACGTGGACATGGACATGGACGTGGACATGGACGTTGACGTGGACATGGACGTGGACATGGACGTGGACGTGAAAAAGGACGTGAACGTGGACGTGGACATGGACGTAGACGTGGACGTGGACGTGGACGTGGACGTGGACGTGGTCGTGGACGTGGACGTGGACGTAGACGTGGACATGGACGTGGACGTGGACGTGGACGTGGAATTGGACGAGGACGTGGACGTGGACGAGGACATGGTCGTGGACGTGGACGTGGACGTAGACATGGACGTAGACGTGGACGTGGACATGGACATGGACGTGGACCTGGTCGTGGACGTGGACGTAGAGGAACATGGACGTGGACGTGGACATGGACGTGGACGTGGACGTGGACGTGGACGTGGACGTTGACGTGGACGTGGACCTGGTCGTGGACGCGGACATGGATGTGGACGTGGACCTGGACGTGGACGTGGACATGGACGTGGACGTGGACGTGGACGTGGTTGTGGACGCGGACGTGGACGTGGACGTGGACATGGACGTAGACATGGTCGTGGACGTGGACATGGACATGGACGTGGACGTGGACGTGGACGTAGACGTGGACGTGTACGTGGACGTGGACGTGGACGTGGACGTGGACAAGGACGTGGACGTGGACGACGTGGACGTGGACGTGGATGTGGACGTAGACGTGGACGTGGACGTGGACGTGGGAGTGGACGTGGGAGTGGACGTGGAGTGGACGTGGACGTGGACGTGGACGTGGACGTGGACGTGGAAGAGGACGTGGACGTGGACGTGGACGTGGACGTGGACGTGGACGTGGACGTGGACATGGACGTGGACGTGGACGTGGACATGGACGTGGACGTGGACGTGGACATGGACGTGAACGTAGACGTGGACGTGGACGTGGACGTGGACGTGGACGTGGACGTGGAGAACTTGGACGTCGACATGGACGTGAACATGGATGTGGACGTGGACGTGGACGTGGACGTGGAGAACTTGGACGTGGACATGGACGTGAACGTGGACGTGGACATAGACGTGGAGGACTTGGACGTGGACATGGACGTGGACGTGGAGTGGACGTGGACGTGGACGTTGACGTGGACGTGGACGTGGACAAGGACGTGGACGTGGACGTGGACGTGGACGTGGACGTGGACATGGACGTGGACGTGGACGTGGACGTGGACGTGGACGTGGACGTGGACGTGGAGATGGACGTGGACGTGGACGTGGACGTGAGATGGACGTGGACGTGGACGTGGACGTGGACGTGGACGTAGACGTGGACGTGGACGTGGACATGGACGTGGACGTGGACGTGGACATGGACGTGGACGTGGACATGGACGTGGACGTGGACGTGGACGTGGAGATGGACGTGGACGTGGACGTGGACATGGACATGGACGTGGACGTAGACGTGGACGTGGACGTGGACATGGACGTGGACGTGGACGTGGACGTGGACGTGGAGGACGTGGACGTGGACGTGGACGTGGACATGGAAGTGGACGTGGACGTGGACGTGGACGTGGACATGGACGTGGACGTGGACATAGACATGGACGTGGACGTGGACGTGGACGTGGACATGGACGTGGACGTGGATATGGTCGTGGACGTGGACGTGGACGTGGACGTGGACGTGGACGTGGACATGGACGTGGACGTGAACAAGACGTGGACGTGAACATGGACGTGGACATGGACGTGGACGTGGACATGGACGTGGACATGGACATAGACGTGGACGTGGACGTGGACGTGGACGTGGACATAGACGTGGACGTGGACGTGGACGTGGACGTGGACATAGACGTGGACGTGGACGTGGACGTGGACGTGGACGTGGAGGACGTGGATGTGGACGTGGACGTGGACGTGGACGTGGAGAACTTGGACGTCGACATGGACGTGAACGTGGACGTGGACGTGGACGTGGACGTGGACGTGGAGAACTTGGACGTGGACATGGACGTGAACGTGGACGTGGACGTGGACGTGGAGGACTTGGACGTGGACATGGACGTGGACGTGGAGTGGACGTCGACGTGGACGTTGACGTGGATGTGACGTGGACGTTGACGTGGACGTTGACGTGGAGTGGACGTCGACGTGGACATGGACGTGGATGTGACGTGGACGTGGACGTGGACGTGGACATGGACGTGGACGTGGACGTGGACGTGGACATGGACGTGGACGTGGACGTGGACATAGACGTGGACGTGGAGGTGGACATGGACGTGGACGTGGACGTGGACGTGGACGTGGACATGGACGTTGACGTGGACGTGGACGTGGACGTGGAGTGGACGTGGACGTGGACGTGGACGTGGACGTGGACATGGACGTGGACGTGGAGATGGACGTGGACGTGGACGTGGACATGGACGTGGAGATGGACGTGGACGTGGACGTGGACATGGACATGGACGTGGACGTAGACGTGGACGTGGACGTGGACATGGACGTGGACGTGGACGTGGACGTGGACGTGGAGGACGTGGACGTGGACGTGGACGTGGAGAACTTGGACGTGGACATGGACGTGAACGTGGACGTGGACGTGGAGGACTTGGACGTGGACATGGATGTGGACGTGGACGTGGACATGGACGTGGACGTGGACATGGACGTGGACGTGAACGTTGACGTGGACATGGAAGTGGACGTGGACGTGGACGTGGACATGGACATAGACATGGACGTGGAGGTGGACGTGGACGTGGACATAGACGTGGACGTGGACGTGGACGTGGACATGGTAGTGGACGTGGACATGGTCGTGGACGTGGACGTGGACGTGGACGTGGACGTGGACGTGGACATGGACGTGGACGTGAACAAGACGTGGACGTGAACATGGACGTGGACATGGACGTGGACGTGGACATGGACGTGGACATGGACGTGGACATGGACGTGGACGTGGACGTGGACATGGACGTGGACGTGGACATGGACGTGGACATGGACGTGGACATGGACGTAGACATGGACCTGGACGTGGACATGGACGTGGACATGGTTGTGGACATGGACGTGGACATGGACGTGACATGGACGTGGGCGTGGACGTGGACGTGGACGTGGACGTGAAGATGGACGTGGACGTGGACGTGGAGGACTTGGACGTGGAGGTTGACATTGACGTGGACGTGGACGTGGACGTGGACATGGACTTGGACATGGACATGGACGTGGACGTGGACGTGGACATGGACGTCGACGTGGAAGTGGACGTGGACGTGGAGAACTTGGACGTGGACATGGACGTGGACATGGACGTGGACGTGGACGTGGACGAAGACATGGTCGTGGATGTCGACGTGGACGTGGACGTGGACGTGAACATGGACTTAGACGTGGACGTGGACGTGGACGTGGACGTGGACGTGGTCGTGGATGTGGCTTGGTCGTGGACATGGACGTGGACGTGGACATGGACGTGGACGTGGACGTGGACGTAGACATGGACGTGGATCTGGACGTGGACGAGGACGTGGACGTGGACATAAACATGGACGTGGACGTAGACAAGGACATGGACTTGGACATGGACGTGGACGTGGACATGGATGTGGACGTGGACATGGACATGGACATGGACGTGGACGTGAACGTGGACGTGGACATAGACGTGGACGTGGACATGGACATGGACATGGACACGTCCACGTCCATGTCCACATCCACGTCTATGTCCACGTCCACGTCCATGTCCACGTCCATGTCCTTGTCCATGTCCACGTCCACGTCCACGTCCATGTCATTTGCACTCTAAGTTCCCATACTGACCGACCTGGCCAATGCACCATTTTCCATATACATATGTATTAGATTCCTTTCGAACCTTATAAGCTCACTAGATTTTTATATTTCCCACCTTCTGATTGAGTGAGACCACTAGATTCCCTCTACTTTTTGAGAAATGAGCGTTTCCGTTCTCCTTGGCCCTAGTTGCACTTTAAGTGCGAAATGCCGGCAAGACTGGCCGATGCACAATTTTCTCTACACATGTGCGTTAGTTACCTTTCAAACCCTTACGTTCACTAGATGAATAGATTTCCTACTTTCTATTTGAGTGAGACCAGTTGATTCCGTGTACTATGCGAAATCTGAGCGCTTCCGTTCTCCCTGGCATTTGCATTTTAAGTTCCAATACTGACCGACCTGGCCAATGCACCATTTTCTCTATACATGTGCATTGAATACATTTCAAACCTTTTTAGCTGACTAGATTTATATATTTCCCACCTTCTCATCAAGTGAGACCGTTAGATTCCCTCTACTTTTTGAGAAACGAGCGTTTCCATTCTCCCTGGCCCCACCTGCACTATGAGTGCGAAATGCCGGCCAGACTAGCCAATGCACCATTTTCTCTACACATGTGCGTTAGTTACCTTTCAAACCCTTACGATCACTAGATGAATATATTCCTACCTTATATTTGAGTGAGACCACTAGATTCCGTGTATTATGCGAGATCTGAGCGGTTCCGTTCTCCCTGGCATTTGCACTCTAAGTTCCCATACTGACCGACCTGGCCAATGCACCATTTTCCATATACATATGCATTAGATTCCTTTCGAACCTTACTAGCTCACTAGATTTATATATTTCCCACCTTCTGATCGAGTGAGACCGCTAGATTCCTATTACTTTTTGAGAAATGAGCGTTTCCGTTCTCCTTGGCCCTACTTGCACTATAAGTGCGAAATGACGGCCAGACTGGCCGACGCACCATTTTCTCTACACATGTGCGTTAGTTACCTTTCAAACCCTTACGTTCACTAGATGAATATATTTCCTACTTTCTATTTGAGTGAGACCACTTGATTCCGTGTACTATGCGAGATCTGAGCGCTTCCGTTCTCCCTGGCATTTGCATTTTAAGTTCCCATACTGATCGACCTGGCCAATGCACCATTTTCTCTATACATGTGCGTTGAATACATTTCAAACCTTTTTAGCTAACTAGATTTATATATTTCCCACCTTTTGATTGAGTGAGACCATTAGATTCCCTCTACTTTTTGAGAAACGAGCGTTTCCGTTCTCCCTGGCCCCACCTGCATTATGAGTGTGAAATGCCGGCCAGACTGGCCGATGCACCATTTTCTCTACACATGTGCGTTAGTTACCTTTCAAACCCTTACGTTCACTAGATGAATATATTTCGTACCTTATATTTGAGTGAGACCACTAGATTCCGTGTATTATGCGAGATCTGAGAGGTTCCGTTCTCCCAGGCATTTGCAGTCTAAGTTCCCATACAGACCGACCTGGCCAATGCACCATTTTCCATATACATATGCATTAGATTCCTTTCGAACCTTATAAGCTCACTAGATTTATATATTTCCCACCTTCTGATCGAGTGAGAGTGCTAGATTCCCTTTACTTTTTTAGAAATGAGCGTTTCCGTTCTCCTTGGCCCTACTTGCACTATAAGTGCGAAATGCCGGCGAGACTGGCCGATGCTCCATCTTCTCTATACATGTGCGTTAGTTACCTTTCAAACCCTTACGTTCACTAGATGAATTTATTTCCTACCTTCTATTTGAGTGAGACCACTAGATTCCGTGTACTATGCGAGATCTGAGCGCTTCTGTTCTCCCTGGCATTTGCACTCTAAGTTCCCATACTGACCGACCTGGCCAATGCACCATTTTCCATATACATATGCATTAGATTCCTTTCAAACCTTATTAGCTCATTAGATTAATATATTTCCCACCTTCTGATCGAGTGAGAGCGCTAGATTCCCTCTACTTTTTGAGAAATGAGCGTTTCCGTTCTCCTTGGCCCTACTTGCACTATAAGTGCGAAATGCCGGCCAGACTGGCCGATGCGCAATTTTCTCTACACATGTGCGTTAGTTACCTTTCAAACCCTTACGTTCACTAGATGCATATATTTCCTACCTTATATTTGAGTGAGACCACTAGATTCCATGTATTATGCGAGATCTGAGCGGTTCCGTTCTCCCTAGCATTTGCACTCTAAGTTCCCATACTGACCGACTTGGCCAATGCACCACTTTCCATATACATATGCATTAGATTCCTTCCAAACCTTATTAGCTCACTAGATTTATATATTTCCCACCTTCTGATCAAGTCAGACCGCTAGATTCCCTTTACTTTTTGAGAAATGAGTGTTTTTGTTTTCCTTGGCCCTACTTGCACTATAAGTGCGAAATGCCGGCCAGACTGGCCGATGCACCATTTTCTCTACACATGTGCGTTAGTTACCTTTCAAACCCTTACGTTCACTAGATGAATTTATTTCCTACCTTCTATTTGAATGAGACCACTAGATTCCGTGTACTATGCGAGATCTGAGCGCTTCCGTTCTCCCAAGCATTTGCACTCTAAGTTCCCATACTGACCGACCTGGCCAATGCACCATTTTCCATATACATATGCATTAGATTCCTTTCAAACCTTATTAGCTCACTAGATTTATATATTTCCCACCTTGTGATCGAGTGAGACCGCTAGATTCCCTCTTCTTTTCGAGAAATGAGCGTTTCCGTTCTCCTTGGCCCTACTTGCACTACAAGTGCGAAATGCCGGCTAGACTGGCCGATGCACCATTTTGTCTACACATGTGCGTTAGTTACCTTTCAAACCCTTATGTTCACTAGATGAATTTATTTCCTACCTTCTATTTGAGTGAGACCACTAGATTTTGTGTACTATGCGAGATCTGAGCGCTTCCGTTCTCCCTTGCATTTGCACTCTAAGTTCCCATACTGACCGACCTGGCCTATGCACCATTTTCCATATACATATGCATTAGATTCCTTTCAAACCTTATTAGCTCACTAGATGAATATATTTTCCACCTTGTGATCGAGTGAGACCGCTAGATTCCCTCTACTTATTGAGAAATGAGCGTTTCCGTTCTCCTTGGCCCTACTTGCACTATAAGTGCGAAATGCCGGCCAGACTGGCCGATGCACAATTTTCTCTACACATGTGCGTTAGTTACCTTTCAAACCCTTGCGTTCACTAGATGAATATATTTCCTACTTTCTATTTGAGTGAGACCACTTGATTCCGTGTACTATGCGAGATCTGAGCGCTTCCATTCTCCCTGGCATTTGCATTTTAAGTTCCGATACTGACCGACATGACCAATGCACCATTTTATCTATACATGTGCGTTGAATACATTTCAAACCTATTTAGCTGACTAGATTTATATATTTCCTACCTTCTGATCGAGTGAGACCGTTAGATTCCCTCTACTTTTTGAGAAACGAGCGTTTCCGTTCTCCCTGGCCCCACCTGCACTACGAGTGCGAAATGCCGGCCAGACTGGCCGATGCACCATTTTCTGTACACATGTGCTTAAGTTACCTTTCAAACCCTTACATTCACTAGATGAATATATTTCCTACCTTATATTTGAGTGAGACCACTTGATTTCGTGTATTGTGCGAGATCTGAGCGGTTCCGTTCTCCCAGGCATTTGCACTCTAAGTTCCCATACTGACCGACCTGGCCAATGCACCACTTTCCATATACATATGCATTAGATTCCTTTCGAACCTTATTAGCTCACTAGATTTATATATTTCCCACCTTCTAATCGAGTGAGACGGCTAGATTCCCTTTACTTTTTGAGGAATGAGCGTTTCCGTTCTCCTTGGCCCTAGTTGCACTATAAGTGCGAAATGCCGGCCAGACTGGCCGATGCACCATTTTCTCTACACATATGCGTTAGTTACCTTTCAAACCCTTACGTTGACTAGATAAATTTATTTCCTACCTTCTATTTGAGTGAGAACACTAGATTCCGTGTACTATGCGAGATCTGAGCGCTTCCTTTCTCCCTGGCATTTGCACT